AGATGTGTATAAGAGACAGACGCCACTCAGGGTCAAACCAATGTTATCATCTTATGTCTCTCTTGAAGTCCCAAAACTTTTGTCTGAAACATTTTTTTCTAAAATGCACTGTTCAAGAGATATTTGAGGTGATCGATTAAAATACGACATCCTGTATATCACAGAAATTTAATGTCGAGGGAATCGGGAAAACGAAATGAGGAGACGGTCGAAGACAGATTACGAGACGTCCGAGTTCCGCGACGAGAATTCATTTGTAAATCGCGAAAGTATAAATAAAGTAAAAGCCGAATTGGAAGCGATGTGTCACCTGAAGAATAACGAAGATTTCGGCAGATTTTCAACGTACTCGTCGCGTGGTAGTAGCTCCGACCAGAGATGCGGATCGGAATTTTCAAGATCGTTGAGGAACGATCGTTTCAGGGTAAAGCGAGAAGAGAGCGTTGTTCTCTCAGAAAACGAGTGAGCAAGATCGAACCTAAACGAACTTTCCGATCTCGATCTCGATGTGAAATCGTTTATGCAACTGGTGCATCGCTCGGAAAAGGATTATGCGCTCGAATTGCTAGAATTGAAGAGAGATGACGAAAGTTTTGATATGGAAAGAATTAAGAATTATAAAACTTTGGCACTTCCCGCAGCAGTTGATATTCCTTTATATCGCGCGAGAATATGTTTCCTTTTATTTGTTGCATTGTATGCACTGTAATATTTTGATTTTTGCATTTCGATGCGATTTGACGAAGTAATCTTCCTGTGTAATTTACATTTTTATATATTCAGACTATAGCTATAATTTACATTTTTTATATACTCAAACTCCATATAATATTGATTTCGTTAATAATTTATTTAAATATTTTTCCTTTAATTTTAATAAATATATTCCCTGTACATGTTATATTTTATTATATTTGTAAATGTTATTATAAATGTATAGGTACATATATATTGGATGTTTTGCATTACACGAAAATAAACTTACAAAAACTTGGGAAAGTGCGTTGTAGAAAATTACGTTTTCTCTCTCAAAGTAATGAAGAGATTCTGTAAAACTTATTATCTAACAATAAAGAGTTAATCCTATACTCGAAAGAAAGAAATGTTGAAAATTATATTTTTTTCAGCACGTTA